ATATATTTTTTTTTGTATTAATAATATTAAAAAAAATGTGCGATCAATATTTTTAATTAAAATTAAATGATTGATTTTATTTTTGTGATTAGTCAATTATATAATTGAAATAATTTCTAATTTGAAAAGTTGGTACTAAATAATGTTGATTAGTTAATAAGTGTTAAAAGTATGTATTTTTTTTTGTATCCTTTGTTTTGGAAATCCTTTCTGTTAAATTGATAAAAAGGGACACATAAACGCATTTATTGTGAGCCGAGGTGTTAGTGAGAATATGCCGTAAAGTGGGTAAGGAGATAATCCAAATTGCTGCAAAAATTATATGTAGGGGAGGATTAAGTGTGAACATGAAACGGTTAAAAACAAGGACGTTATTAACACGGCATAAAAGAGAGGCGAGGATTAAGCGAGGACGGACCTTTTGTCCCTATTAGGAATTAGCGAATACTTTATTTGTATAAATATTAGAACAGTCAAGTTACCTTTAATACTTCATCAGGTGAAATATTTGAAATCGATAAAAAAAAAATAATAATACTAGATTATTTGCATTTAATTACACCATAAACCGCTAAAATTGCAATAATCAACCGACGTTTGGAAACTGCTTACAGAAATTCTGCTCCCTCCTGAAATATGCCCCCATTTTCCAAGCGATTTAAGTTTAGTCATAACAATAAAAATACAGGGTGAAAAAAATATATAACCGGGTCGGAATGTGCATACAGCCTCGTATGTGCCCTAGCAAACACGCATTGAGCTCCTCTTTTATTTCATTTAATCATACTCAACTAGTGGAACTCATTCGGAAAGTTTACTAGAAAATCACTGAACCCACTTTCCTAAATTAAATTTGGTCGATATTAATGTACCACCCCCGTTCCACCTCGACGGTATCTCCCCCGCACCCTTCAAAATGGGGCGAAGGGACCACCCTTTTGCTTTTCCCCAAATTTGCATTCCCTCTCAAACAGCAGCACATAAACAATCTCTGCCTTTACGCAAAACGCTTGCACCGCGAACAAAACATTTAATTTCCCATCAGCGACGATGGGGGGATGCAAACCTCGGAAAAAAAATATGTATGTTATGTAATGACCGACCGTTATTTAAATGTATTCAAATTAGAAGCGTTTCCCTTTCGCGCTTCTTAATTGATCGCTTCGCCACAATTCAAGTCGTAACCTTGAAAGTGATTCCTTGCTCTACCGGATGATTCGTTTCTCTAATATTGTGTTTCAAAAGGTGGGGCCAACGCCCCACAGGACACATTTAGAGTTTAACCGTATGGCCTATTATGTATATGTTACATAGGGGACATGGGAATTTTAGAAAGGCTTTCCGGGGCATGGTACAAAAAAAAGGGTTGGGAATCACTGGTATAATTCTTGATACAAACCAATTGCTCGAAGAAATGAAATTATTAAAAAAAAAATGTGTTGCATAAATATATTACATAAAATAAACTCATTATAATAATATAATAAAAAAAAATTAAACTGCAGCAAAGGTTTATTTGAAAAACTTCATTTTAATATTAAAAAAATTCTTTCAAAATTTAAAGAAAAAATATCTCAGATATTAATAAACATTTTTTACACAATGAATAGAAACGAATAGATAATATTAGTGTTAATTAAGGTTCTGTTGTAAATAAATGATTAACACTGTGTTTCTCGGATGAAGAGGAAGAGAGAAATAAAGTGTGCAACGTTTCATTCGAGCTCGTTTCACTTATTTTCGTTTATTATTTTTTAAGTGTCGTGGAGCTGTTGCAGTGAGTTCACGGCAATAATACTTAAATTAATTTTAAATGAGGCTGCAATTTAAGGAAACAACTCACGATCGAACGAACGAACGAACGAACTTCCGGATTGCTTTTGTTTCAATGCAAGTTATTTGCGCACTGAATGGATCGCTTCGAAATGAAGTTGCTAAATTAAATATAACGTCGAACGCCCCATGCGTATATTATATACACACTTCAACCGCACACAATTCGTCTATTTTTTTTAGATTTGTTTTGTTCTTTTTGTTCAGATAATTAGAGTTTTTATATAAAAAAGGTTTTGTTACTTTTGGTTGTCGGAATTTCGATTGCCTGCGTCGATGTATATGCGGATACTTTATTTTGATACAATAAAACATGAAAACACTGCTTTTTCGCACCTATATAAATAACATAATTCTGGTGTGATTTTTGGAAAATTCTAGATAAAAGTAATGTAATTTGTGTAGTGAGTTAATGCATGGAAATTATATTAATTTTGCAAGTTTTTTTTTGCGTAAAATTCAATACTGCCAAGTTTCAGCATTACAGGAAAACTAATTAACATACGAGTCACGTATGTCAAGTATTTTCCCCACAGATTCGCCATGTAATAATTGGAGGATGCAAGCGTTGCATAAACCAAACCGATGATTCGATACATCCGTGCGCGATGAAATATCTTAGACACACATCTAGGCTAGAGGCCAGAGTTTGTCCAACGATTGGAGAATCGTAGGGCGCAGTTGAAGGGCGGCAGGAAAAGTTCTCTTTCTCTCTCTCTTGCGCCCCATTCCGTCGGAGTTTGGCTTTTTGTGTTAATTTGGTGTAATTCGAGTGAAAAAGATTTGCACTTACCTTTTGTGTTCCCAGTTTGTGGGAGTAAATTCCTTTTGTATAATGCAAATTGGATTGTTCCAGAGGACTTAATTAGCTTAAATTAAACCAGACAAATTGTAATCACTCGCATTACATGGATTTACTTTTATTACCAGCAATAAATAAATTAAACACGTGTTGTTGATTTCTTTACATACTTTACATCTTCTTCATATTTCTAAATACAACATTTGTTATAAACATTCAACAATTTGGAATAAAATATTTTAAAAATTAGTTTCTACTGTAATTATAAGATTAATTAATTTGGTGAGAAAAAATTTGATTAGTAAAAATACTATTTCAGACAAGCAAATTTACAGTTGTCGTATTTTTCAAAAGTTACATCTTCTAAATGATATGTCAGAAATATCCTCAACGCAAACTCTAAGTCGGTAGGTGGAAATCTCGTTATCAGGACCTTACATTCCTTCAAGAATCAGAAAAAAACTCCTACCTTTTGCAAGTGAAATATATATAATCATGTTTAAATTATTACATTAATTAATCTAAACAAATAACGTTTTCCCCCCTCTGATTTACTGAACGAAAATAATCATAAAGTTATGTACACACTAATCCGAATTTATAAATATATAATTTTTGACAAGTTGGAAATGTAATTAATAATAAACGAAATAAAGTGTTTGTTTTTGAATATATTTACATGTTTTTCTTCCTATTTTTTTTGCAGTTTTTCGTGAATTTCTCGACAACCCCTTAAGAAAATTACATCATCAACCATTGGCATCTCACCTTTTCTACTTATATCTTCGTACTGTCATCGAATTGCCTGCTATGAGCTTTAGAAATTGAAAAACAGAGAAACTTTTTTTTTTCCAGTTTTTTTTTGGAAGAAAAGTAAATTGAATGAATGGATAGTTAATAACTCGAAAACCTCTAAATATAATTACATCATCAACAACTTGTATGAAAACAGAATGTCTCGCCCTTCCAACGAGGCTACATTTATACTCGTGCTGTCATCGAGTAACCTGATATGAGCTGTAGAAATTGAAAAAACAGAGAAAAGACGTTTTTTTTCAGTTTTTCGAGAACAACAACCCCTTAAGCAAATTACATCATCGACCACTGGCATCTCACCTTTCCTACTTATATCTTCGTACTGTCGTCGAGTCGCCTGCTACGAGCTGTAGAATTTGGAAAAAAATTGAATAGAATTTTTAATATATTGAAAATATCTTTATGGATTTTTGATAAATTGAACTTCATTATTTCTATCAATTTTTAATTATAGGAAGGATTCATTACAATTAATAAAACAAATGATTTGTCTTTAATGTTTGTTTTTATTATTCTTTTTACAAACGGATAGAGCACATTTATTATACATGGTTTACATAGTTTCTTGTTAAATCGTATTGTGCTCGGTATTCCCACGCTTCAGATTAACATTAACCCAGAGCTGCAAATTCATCATAATAAAAACGTTAACCGCAAGATGGAAATACCGTTACGTAATATATATTTTTTTGTTCACACATATTTATATATTTGATTTTGTTGATTAAAGACAACAATTAAAAGCGCCATCTTTTGTGAATATTTCATTTAAAAAAAAACAACAAATTCTCGCGCTCCAGCTGTCACTCTTTTCAAATTTAAACAATATATTTACATTCCATACTATCGCAAAAATAATCATTATCTACATTAGATTAAACAATATATTATACCTAAGTATAATAATAATAGTAATAATAATTTCATCATCCTCTTAAGCTCATCAACGTTTTACTCTTCATTATTTTTTTTTCAAATTCTCCATGTTTTAGTAAAATAAAATTCATCCCCTTAACACTAACAATTACAATTTTATTCGACTAATTTATATAATTATGTTTTTTTTCTCCTTTTTTTGTGTTTCGGGTTTTCCGAATGGAAAGTAGCGTGGGTTCTACTGATGCCACATTCAACTACATATTAATTAGTATATCTTCATTATTATCATCATCTCTTGTATAATAAACCCTATGAAACGTCTAATACCCTGTTTGGTTTAAAGGTAGAACAGGAATGCTTCCTAAAATATATAAAAGCAATGATTTTCGTTATTCGTCGTGTTTTTTTTTTGAAGCCCACACGCTCATGCGATGCATTGCGTACGTCAAGGCGACGATGGAATAAGAAGGGCTTTAGTCCTCTCGGACGTACTAGAACTGTTGCGATCAGTAGATTTCCACAAAAAGGGAGGAAAGGGGGGAAAACACCGCACCTTGTAGATATCAATAAATATATTGTATTTATTTTTTTTTGTAATATTCATTCCTTTTCATTTTCATATTTAATTTTTTTCTTTGGCTACAGTTTCAATTAGTTATTTACAAGGCCCGTCGTTTTTTTTTGGTTTTAATTGTACATCAACGTTATATTTAATATATGTTTCACTTTTATAATCTCCATACTTGTATATAGATATATACATATGCAATATATATGTATATACATTTTTTTTGGACGCTACATAAAGCTACATACACTTGATATATTTTCCAATAAATGATTTTTCTTTGCATTTTTTTTCTCTTCTTCTTTTTTTTTAATAACACGAAGCGGGGGGTCTATTGCAAACGAAAGGATCTACAGCAGTCTGTCACGAACTTGAGGTTCGGACCTACTGGTCTATGCTAAACCGAGTCAGTCTTGATTGAAAATATAACATATTATAAATATCTTAGACAATGATGCCTTTGTTAGCGTCCTGATTAAAGGACGAACGCCGCGAGGATCAAGTACCCGGTCAGTATTCCTGAAGCGCATTTTTTGTTACTTTTTTTTATTATTCATTGGGATCTAGTGGTGGATGACTGACAGGGTACTGGGTGCGCTCGCATCGTTCCGAACGAAATTTTGAAAATGAAAAGTTACAAAAAGAAAGAATGACTTAGACTTCCTTGCTGGACCAGGAGGTGAGAGGAAGTTTATACTGATGGCGAGTCATTCATCGTTGGTATAAGAAGATGATGAGTATTGGCACCCAAAGAGTTGAGATCTTGATGGTTTCTGTAAAAGAAAAAAGAAACAGAATAAGTTGGTCATCCTTGAAAAGTTGTTTTTTGCAAATTCTCATTTGTTTAAAATGTTTGTACCAATAGGACAATTAGTATTAATTATTCAAATCCATTATATACTAAAAATTTCTCGAAATTTATGTTATAATAGTTCAAAGCTTTAGATTGGAAGCTGTTACAATGTACCTTGCAACATTTTGGTTAGGACAAATTATATATTTCTAATTACTTTGTTAATTTAAGTAAATTTTCTTTCAACGTTTTAGATCAGTGACTCCCAACCTTTTTTGTGTCTATCTAAAATTCTTATGTACCCTATGAAAAATATACATAACACACCATACTCTACTAGATGTATCCATTTTCGAATTGCTACACTGTTTTAGATACTTTGAGAATCCATTTATGTTTGTAGATAGGACACTCATTAACAAATCGGGAATATTGATTATAGTATTAATGACTTTGGAAGATAGATTGCAGCATTCATATTGTAGTTTTAATTGGATGTAGTTTTCCGGGTACAATGCTCCTTCCACCGTAGGTGGCGGATGATTCTCAAATAGGATTCATAATTAATTGAGTATTTGAGGTCGGGTCCGAGTTCCTCCATGCATCCACAGACATTGTCTTTGATGTGTTCTCCCCAGCCGCATATAATATTCTCTTTAGCGGCGGCCGCGCATTTTATATTTTCCCAAAGCGTTGGAAACTTAAAAGTCAGACATCCACTCCCTTGGAAATAAATTTCGAGCTTCCTTATATACACTTCCACATACATGTGCACGATCCTTCTCCTTTTTATTTATTTCCTTCTCATCTCTCTTCTCAGTTATACCACACATAAAATATATATATATATAGAGAGAGAGAGAGAGAGAGAATGAGTGAAAAAGAGAGGTTATACTTTTTTTCGCTTCCTGCTCTTCTCGGTAGTGTTATTGTTGCGGGCTTTAAATATATTTCACGCGTTACGTGTAATGCGGAGTAAACGCTGTCGGAAATAGAGTTTTCTCAATTTCCTATGACTCGTATTGACCTCTATACGAATGTCCAACAAACTTATCGACATACATGCATGTCAGAAAGTTAACTTTCTCGTACCCTCCTCTCTTCACCCTCATCATCTTTTTTTTCTAATGCTTTCAGAGTATCACAGATTTTTCTTCCTTTCCATCCATCCGCCTGGACTGGCGAATCGAATTATTGCTATCGCTGCAAAGACGTAATTGTTTCAAGGGCTGAAGCCTGGATCTTCCTTCCCCCTTATGTATATTATATGACCCGGAGCAATGATGCGACTTCAGATCTCATATCTATATACCCACATACGTATATCTATATATATTTTTTTGCAAGGGGCTGTACCCTGTGTATGTGTTCCAGTTCGAGACCGCAAGTCGGATAGGGAAATCTCTTGGGGCCAAGTCTAAGTCCTGGATCCAGGAAAAGTCCGCAGGAGCGCGAACTTATCATGCACGCCTCGTATCCTAGATCCAATGTAATTATTCAACATCACTTGCATTTTCTCGAACTCAATGAATTCTGCATGGGCATCAAATATACACGACCGCCTTTCAGCGTACTTCACTCATTACAAGTGTTCCGCTTATTTCCATTCCGTCCGTTGCACTATTCGGAATCGAAGATTTCGTTCTTATATGAAAATACCCGTGGGTGGAACAAGAGAAGGAGAGAGGGAGTGCATTTGTATGTGCGACGGTCATGTTGTCTGCTTCTCCAGTCACAATGCATGCTTGATATTCCATCCGCATTCGGTATTATTTATATTCGAATTATGAAGATTCCTGATGCTTGCACTAGCTTCCCACAATGCAATCCTCTCATCGATCCAAAATCGGTAATGAGTTTATAGACCAAAAGCTTAAGCTTCAAATCTGTTACAAACCATTTTGCAACCTCCAATTGCAAAGTGTTCCAAAGATTTCTCCTAATCTAAAGCTTAAACTTCAAATTTCTACATATATTTTCAATACTACATAAGGTTTCATATTTTACTAATAATTTTATAGTCCAAAGCTTTAACTTTAAATTAGTGATAATTTATATTCCAATTGGACAGTATACCAAAGTTATACTACAGTTCAAAGCTTCACATTCGATACTACTATAAACCAATATTTTACAATTTGTTTTTATATTTACTAATAAGTATATAGTTCGAATCATTAAACCTTTAAGTATTTACCTTATTACGTATTTTTCTTTTCAAATTATGTATCTATTAATTAACTAAAACAGTTTATACAAATTACACTTGTGATTGTTAACGGAATAGTGTTTTGTGGGTGTTATCGATCCTCGATTGGTAATGAGCTAACTTTCGTCCGAGGTAATGTGCTTTTTGACGATCGGAAAAGTGATATATAAGTTTTGAGGCTACAAATCCAATATCATTACTGGTATATAGAAATCGCTTAAATGATCAGCGCTCTTTTGCGAGCGTATTTTTCCATTTGTTCAAAAGCGAATGTAAAGAAAAGCTTTCAATTTCTACGGCGCACGCTTTCCCACCGAGAAAAACAAAGTACGCGATTTCCTTCTTCGAATTTCAACACTTCAATTTCACATTTCTTCAATCTGTATTTTGATGCCTTCACATCACGTGTATTTGACACAATAAACTCATTTGCTTACCCTAAGCAATTGTTATTTTTAACACGTAACAAAATCAAGGAAGTAAGATTTAGTTATATTCGTCGTTTATTCATACTCGAGTATAATACGCAGCTCAATTTATCAGTTGATTAGTTTTTTTTTAAGGAAACACAATATATATATTGATATGTTTTATTTGATATATTTTTTGAGATACTTACGAGCTGAGCTGTCATCGGAAGCTGGCCAATCGTAGATGACTCCTTTGCTGTCGTTCTCGGAGCTGGACTTCTGTTCGGATTTGTCGATCTCATTCAGGTTCGATTGATATTTGGAACCTACGGAAATGCGGTGAACATCAAATACGAAACAATAAGCTCGAACGTATCCACGACTACTGATTTTCGTTCGCTTCTTGGACGAGGGGAGAAACCGGAAACGTATACGCACACACGCACAATTCTATACATGTGGGCGAAGGGAGGGCTGTGATCCATTCTGAATTATTTATTGCCTGATCCGGATTGAAACAAGTACGGTTAATTAAGAGGCGGTAGTCTCCAGATGCAGGGGTGATCGGTGTGTGTGTTAGAAAATGACAGAGAAATTGATAGAACAAAATCAAACAAAAAGTCAGATTGTGTATCTTGTGTTTGTGAAAGAAAGAGAGAGAAAACATAGGCACTAAAAGTTCAGCAATTTTGTGCTATTCTGTGCTCAGTAGCCATGCTGTGGTATTGCTTGGTGCTTGTGCTTCAAGTATCGAACGTGTGATAAAAATAAAATAATAATAACGATGCATCGTGCTTGGGTCGACAGAGGATAACGCCGCATCGCAGGATTCGAATCCTGCGTCGATCCTGTCGCTTCCATCAATGGAGACAATAGCCCCTGAACGTCAGCGAGTCGTGGAGACGCACTCAACCATATAACATGTTTATTTTGCAATTAGCATGGATGAATCTGACGAGGGGAATCGTCGAAAAGTCGAATTGGTTTATTCAATTATCCTTCTTGGCTTAGAAGGTATACGAAGACTTCAAATGAACTGGGGGAAGGCTAGGAATTAACGCACCCGGAACTGGGTCTCCATTTATATAATATATACATGTAAAATGTAGTCCTGAAGACGCGCGCACATACACACATACACCTGTCTCATCCAATATTTGCAAGGACTTCGACTATAAAGGAACATCCTGATCTATGGACCAAGTCAAAAATCTGCTCCAAAAGCAAACACCCTTATATTAGCTTTCGTATAAAATTGATTTCATAAAATCCACAATAGTAAGAGCGCAAGAATCATAACGAGACGAAAGAAAATTAATTTTAACAAAATATAATTGAGCAAACATAATATAAACGCAATTAAATAAAAAAAATACATTAAATCGAACATCAAAAAAGAAAGGAATAAAAGAAAAAGAAAAACAAACAGCTTTAATACATTTTATTGGATCCGAATACGAAATCAAACCTACAAATAATTATTTTTATGCAATCATTGAATATGCTTGATTCATGTAAAATCATTTTGTCTGCCTCCTGTGGAGAATTTGCATTTCATTCAAGTATTGGAAATCAAAGGATACAAAGAATGCGGATTATCCTTTATATCTCCATAGATTGACCTTATTCCAGGATTAAAATTTGCTTTCATTACTGTAATTACATTTCTTGGAACCGAATTTATTGACTTTTTCTTAAATATTTGTATTATTACAAAATTTATTAATCTGTTTCGAAGTCTTCTTGTCTCTTTTTCAAAATATAGTTATTGTTAATTATTTTTAAATAATGTTTGCTGTTTTTGTAAGAAATTCAGTTATTATTAAGATGAACTGGAAAATAAGTTAGTTATGAAAATAGTAGTGTTTATTATAGTAAAATAAAATAATTCCTATAATTGTTTTGTATTTGATTAAGAGCAATAAGAAGCATATTACTGGATGCGGTGTTAATTGCAAATTACTATGGGTTTAACGATGATCCTTTATAGTGAAACTCTGTTAATTGAGAACCCACTGAAACGAATTGGCAATATGAAATTGATGGGAATTACAGAGTCGTTGAGCCTTTCTTACGGCGTTTTAGTCCAATGCGAGCTGTGGTTGAAAACGCGTCGGTAGAAAAGAACATGATAAGGGTCTGTGTACTTGTGAAGGCGGTGTTGTCTTTGGAGAAATTAAATGAGTAATTATTAATTAGGGGATGATTGTGTTCGGAAGGGGTGGTTCGGACGGCGAGGGGATCCATTATGCGGGCTCCCGTGTTAGTTAGGGGTGGTAAGATGGCTACCTTTATCTGCAAGGTGCATATTGAGGGAAGTCTGATTTCCGTAGACCGAGTTGTTGAGGTCGCCGTTGGCCCAGCCATCCTTGTTCCGGCTAGGTGGGTCCGTGGTGGTCGGCTTTGGAGAGGTCGTTGGCGGCGCTGTAGCTGCGACAGAAACACCCATCAATTTGCCACAACTTATCATCAAAAGATTACCTAACACCATTTTGATCATCGCCTCTCATGTACGCTTTTATTTATTGTTTTGCATTTTTATTTTTTTAGTTTAGATTTTTATTCGGTTTGCCGTGACGCGAGCTGTGACGTGGCAAATCACCACCGTTAAGTGGGACGGCGGAGGACCGGACGGCAACGTGACAACGTGTTAGGCCGCATATTCATTTTCGTTTCATGAATCGCTTTGACACTGATTGAACGACAAAACTCAATTAGACGCAACGAGAGGTCGTTCGCCACTTTGGATTTTAGCGCCAACATTCGGATTTACTGTTGGTTATTTATTTTATTGCGAATATATTCTTCGTTGCTTCTTCCGGTGTTGGTGTGTTAGTGGGACACGGCAATAATTCAGCGATTTTTCAAGTGAAAACGCACATTTGTAGGATTATTTCGGAATGATCTCCGAAACGAGCTCGAGGAGTCAGCAAGTAGTGGGACGCCAGGCCAAGCTGTTGCTATAGTAACGACACGTGTTGAGCACGGTGTTACTTTGTGAATCTTGTCACGTTATGAGATGAAAAGGGACCTCTGGGAAGAGTATAGTGGGAGACGACGGGGGTGGGGCGATTATGGAGGATGCTTCTTCTTCTTCCAGACCGAGAGATGACGACGCCAAACAGACAACCTCCAGAATTGGATAAAAGAGTAGACGGGCTACATACACACACGGACGCACACGTATACATATATATATAGTTATATATACATATATTGCATCTGTGTTTCATCTCCGCACTGCATTTAAATATATACAGCATGAATACGATCATGCAGTCAAGTTTGGTCCTGTGACACGGACACCGGACTATGTACAAACTAATAAATCAAAGCGTGCTCCGCCGCGGGTCGTCCAACTTTTTCCCCAGTTCGAGCGCGTCAGGTGGTGTTGTTCCATTATGTATGATCCGGCTGTCAAACATCCCCCAACTTGACCGCAAACTATTACAATTAGCACTTCAAAAACTCCAATGTTTTCACACATTCGAAAAGAAAGCAAAAAAAAAACAGTACCACAAACGAAACGAATCCTTCAAACCAACTCAATTTATGGCATTCACTTATCTACAGCATATCAATACGATAATTACTTACCTAATTTTATTTAGAAGTTCCTCGTTATACATGAAATTCCTCAATTGTCAACAGCTTAGACTCATTAATAAATATTGTTTTTATGTTTTATGAAGTAAATTTAGAAAATAAGTTTCTAATATTGGATTTTCCTAATAAAATATTCTAAAATATAAATCAATTAAACAATAATTTATACAAATCGGAATTTATGTGTGTAAGCAAATTATATTTATGAATTAATTTCTTTTTTTTTAATAAATTCTACCACATTTTGTTCCGAATTTATAATAAATTAAGGTGAAACGATAGCCCTTTGGTTACAATTGGAGATTTTTATTATTATTAAGGTGAAATAAAAAAAAATAATTATACAAAATTTACAAGTGTAAACTGCAATGAGAAATGATTTTTTTTTCGTCCGACAGTTTGTTATATATTATTTTGTGATCTTAAGAATATTTGAACTACTTATAACGAATGTTTGCGTCTGGGATACTGATGACTAAAAGAGTACGTAGCTCGAATACTTGAAGTAATACAAACATACCATCGTCTAGCCAACAACTCAGGATTTAATCCGTACACTTTCGAGGTCGTTTTTTTTTGCTCGTAACATAAAAAACAAAGAAAAGAAAACAACGTGGCTGTAAAAGAGTAAACCCTAATATAAATACAACTGAAGTGGCGAATACGTACCTCAGGTCTGGGACATCAAGTCTTCACATAAATAAAACTGCATGCGTGACAGGGGAGGCGTGCAAAGTGAGGCGGAGGAGGTGTAATGTGATAATAATAAGTGATCGCTTTCTACCCCTTTAATGCTTTGCATCCCTCGCTCAGCGATTTCTTTTTTTTTCTTCCTGTTTTCCCGTCTTTCGTTTCAGCCCCTGAATTTGTATATATATATATATACGTATACACAAACATCTAAAGAATATATATGTATTTTTGTTTTCGCATGCCGTTCGAAACTAATCTTGACATTGTTATGTTTACGATCCATTTAACTAATCGAACATCTGTCTGTACGCTTCAAGTGAGACTCGCGAGGCTATGCAGCTGTGTTGCGCGATTGGCAACAGGATTGACAAATGGAAGTACCATGTCTAGCTGCTAACACGGCCAATTGCAACTAGCAACCAGATCGTGTTTGCTAATAGCTGATTTCAACGAGAATTGCTAGCTGCTAACTGCCCTTCACGTTTCGGATGCGGCCCACCGATATATCAATAAACTTCCGCTGATTTATCGCGAATCCATCCAATGCTTCGTTTAGAATTCATACAAAAACGTTTAATCAACTGTTAGCGCAATTTTCAACCATCAAATCTATAAAATTCAATATTAGAAATGTCTACATTGCAAATTGTTATTAAGACTAGTACTCTGATTATATTTTTTATGTGTATTTTAAATACGAAAATATATCGGAAAGATTCTGATATCAATATAATATTTTTATAACATGTAATTTATTTTTATTTAACAATTTTTATTGGACCATATAGGACAAAAGGGCTATAAATGTTTTTAAATACTTACAAAAAAAAGTAGTATATTGATGAAACCAAGATTGTAGCAGTAATAACTGTATTAGAAATTGTCGGAACGACGAAATCAAATCAATAACGACTCATTTAGCAAAGAAAACAAGCTGGTAATTGTGATGGAAAAACTTCATGAAATACGATTAATTCCCCAATGAGTATGAAAGTTCCAGAAAACATATAAACTAATTGTATCAAATTCAGATATATTTTCGTTTTTACAAACAAACAAATATGTTTTTGCTTCAGTGAATTATTGATTGCTTGATGAATTGTGATGAAATTAAAAACATTTGCCAGTTTTAATTGTGTATAAAAATGTAATATACGTCATTATTTTTTTTTAATTGTTTACAAAGTTGATTTAATTTCGTTTGTGTATGCTTGTTTTATTCAGTTTTAATGAAAGCGCACATACACATAATAAACATGTTATTGAATAACGATTCATTTGCAAAACAGATTTGATGGATGCGTGGTTATTATTTTTGTTGTTATGCGATAAATCAGCGACAGAAGTTAATGAATATTGTTGGTATGTTTTCGTTCAGTTATAAATTTTCTGTAATTATTGATATTGAAGATGAGGGGGATGAGGGTGAGTGCGGGTGAATATGAAAGATAGGTAGTTTGAGAGAGATAGAGAAAGAGAGAGTGAGAGGGTTGAGAGGGTGGAAGGTCGGACATTCATGGGGCATGAAATACGAGCTCGCATCTGTCGCCGTTATTGTTGTGCACAAGTTTCTTCGCGAAAAGTACTTTCTAACGGTTTTCAGATATATGACACGCTGCCGTCCGGCGATTCCACTTTTATGGCAAATTGCTCTATAACGGGGTAATTTATGACATCCGAACGGCTTGTGGTGAGCAAGCACTAATAATTTATTCCATTCAGAGCCAAATATTAAGATGTTCCTGATACCGACTGCAGTGTCTAATCTTAATTACTTTACGTAGTTTAATTACCGCGCGCGAGAGCCGCGCCGTCTGTTATATTATCTGGCCGGGGGAATCGAATCGAGAGGGGTTGGAGGTTTTGGAGAAGAGATAGACGCTAAGACTGAGAGCACGAGAGAGACAGACTGAGAGATATAGAGACGGCGAGGGTGTCGGAACTGTTACTGTTACTGTTCTATTACTTACTGTACAGCCGGATGGTGCCGTCCGTTTCGCCCCTCGGATTCTTGGCTACACACTTGTAGGTGCCGTAATCGTTCTGCTGGATGTTGGAGATGACCAGCCTCATGTGAGTCTTGTAGGCGGGGGAGCCGATGATGTTCTCGGTATGATACTTGCGGGACTCGTGGATCATTTGACCATCTTCGCGGGTCCAGTAGTTCAGGGAGCTGGGATGAGCTTCGGTGAAGCACTCCAAGGTCACGGAGTAGGCCAGAGGTGCTCCGACCAGCTGGTGCGGGATCAACAGCATCGGTGGGACTGCAACACGGGGAAAAACATGTCGGGGATCGATTCAACTTCAACTATCGCACCGACGGAATCAACTTCTGCCATCCGCAGGAGTGCGCCTTCATTATAGCATGCAAAACAGTTCGCGGTGCGAAAAGGTGTACAAGGCTGTTTACCAACGGATGCGCCAAGGGGCTACCATCCCTCGCCAAACACCAAAAAACCCACCCCACGTCCCCAAGAACTCCCTGTTTACATGATCATTTACCCTTTGTAACCTCTTTAAATGCATTACATTTCCGCGGCTTTACGCCCTTCGACAATTGCTTCTCTCCTACATCGGGAGAAGAAATAATAATAAAAAAAAGGGAACATAACAGAACAGCGCGGGTGAAAGACAGAGAAAAGGAAATGTAAAAAGAAAGACAGACTTTTCGCTCGACGTTTCCCTTTTCATTTCGCCGTCTGATTTTATGCCTTCCTAACAGAATTACGCCCTTCGCTGTATGTACTCTGTTAATGGCCTCAAATAATTATTTATTTACCATCTCGCATCAGGTTTCACAATTTCTTGACCCTTCACTTGAACTTAGTGCGTGCTCGCATGTTGGTTTCTATCTGGATTTTGGGTATACAAGATATTCTACTTGAAGAGGGTTAAAGCTGCCCATCCCCAAACCCTTATAATCTATATTAAAACGGCGCTGAAATTATTTCCCGGGGCTGAAATAATGATAATGCCACCGTGTATTAATTAAATATACACTGAACCTTCGCCTTCCGAAGCTGTGCAGCATTTTAATCAATGCATCCAACCAACCTACACTTCGATTTCATGACTTGCCCTTTTACCCTCATCGTCAAATTGAAAGAAAAACTAAACATTTATTTTATTAAAGCTGCAACCACACTTAATATGCAATATTTAACTAATAATAATTACTATGTCTAATAAACATTCATGTCTCATGCCAAGTATTATGGATTCAGCTAATACTAATATCACTTGTATATAGTGGTTTTACAAATATTTCTTATATCCTTTGTAAAGCTAGTGAATTGGCGCAAACACTATACGACAAAGGAACTTTAGCATTGAAGCATTGATAATTTGGCTGAGCGCGGTTTTCAATTGTAACCTGTGGAGGCTGTGAATTCAATTCTCGCTTCTTCTCAAAAGATGAACTATGAAAATACGTTGTCAGTTCAATTGATACAAGTATCTATTATATTCGTAAACACTCTTAAAATTCTGTTTCAGAATAGCATATCGATTGAAAGTTAAGTTTTCAGATTATATTTTAAGTATATTACTTGTAAAATAAAAAAAAAGTACAACCAAATAGTGTAAAAGTAAATTCTGGAATCATATTTCAATTATGTAATATTCCCGACTGGTTATACAAATTATATTACCTATTTATTAGTCAATCATTGTCAAATCAATAGTTCAGTGTCAAATGTCAATTATATATTTTCTTGTAATTAACGGTAAATCGGTATATGTGATAAGAGCTAATACTAGATCAATAGTATAATCTGTGAGTGATTACCTTAATCCGACTCATTGTATATGGAAATAAACCATCTTCTATCATGAATTCGAATCATACAACAGAAATTCATAAATATTTTTTTCCGCTATAACCGGAAATACCATTTCTTTTAATTAAACAAACAATAGCTGAACTATAATGCCTCTACGATACGTGCAAAATGCTATTGCATAAGTTTTCCGCCTATTGACATCATGGGATGCAATCTGTGCGAGACATATCTTGGCGATTGTTCGGCGGATTTCAGCGGTGCTCAAATAAAACGAACAGGCTGTGCTCAAACTGCGCGTGAATCTTGGAATATTAGTTAAATTAATCTATCAACTCAAGCGGGATCCTGTGAAGGAATATGAACCTTGCATTTACATAGCCACGTTGGCTGGATTCAAGTTACGATGGGTCGCCGACCCACGCACACGCTAACCACAATATACACTGAGTCTCATTATGGAAGCCGAACGAATACCACTACAGACCGCCGACGTTATGCAAGAGACCTTAATTCTTAGCGTACAGACGGTTATTGTCGTTATTATTTGTTTGCGTATACATATGAACCGCATTTACATACATAGGTTGCATTTACTTGCACCAAACATAATATATATTTACTGCATTTTTTTATACTGTATATTGATTAAAGTTACTATTTTTTAATGGATCACATCACGTGTTGCCTGTGAGCTACAGGTTGAATAAAATATGATACATTCTGTTGGGGCACATCCTCGTTCGAACCCGAAAATTTGCATTACTTATAATTATTACATAATATAAATTAAGGTTTCGAACTGTCAATCACCCTGCATGAGTTTACGATATACGTTAGATACAAAGTCGGTTTGAACTATCCCTCTATTCCAACCCTTATATCTATCCTTATCGCATTAGATCCCTTCCTAAGCTCCGTGAGTCATCAAAAGATAACGTATTACATCCAAAGCGTTTATCTAAATTAATCCTAATAGAGTAACAATAAAAATAACCTCCAAAATACTGATTATTCCTAAGTGACTAATATTTAAATTTAATCTTAAAATTTGTATAAATATAATTAAATAACGATAATTTAGAAAAAATATGAAAATACAAAAATATGCAATTACATTAATATGAAAAACCGGATTGCGGCTCTCTTTGGTCTCATGTGAGCCCACCCCTGTTATATAATTTAAAATGTGTGGTATAATATTATTCGATTTGTATAAACTTGTATTGTGATCATGATAGTGTCTTTGAAAAAAAAAGAGTTAGGTAAAAGTGTACAATTTAAGAATTGGTATTTCGTAGTGACTGATAGAGGGTTTATAGGTCTATTAATATCTGCCATTAGAAAATCAGGGATTGATTTAATCATGGAGATGTTGTCCAATGTTGGAGAAGTGGGTTAGTTTTAAGTAATTGTTATCGAGGAGATACGGCGTCGGCGATAATTGCAGATATCCCTCGTGGAAACGCTTGATCTTGGTCTCACAGGAAGAGCGGGGTGGCGGCGGCGACGGTAGCATCAGTGAAAAGTCGACTGTCGCGACCTGTCTGCGGAGAATCCGTCTCTGCCATTCCGAGATAAATACAAACACTCCGAGATCAGGTCTAATGTAACATTTATATCCGTGACAAGAAGAACCGCGTCGCAGCATTCCGAATCAGGAGGGAGCGACGGGCGGTCTGAATCCTCCCTCTACCAAAAAACAGTCTAGGTTAAGGGGGATGTAGCCCCCGTTCCCGCGTACCGTTGACAAGATAGATGCCAACCATCATTCTTAACTTCTGTCTTTAGTCTTGGCGCTGTTTGCCTTTGCAGTTACCTCCGCTGTTTTGCATTTAGATTATTTTAAGCGATTATCAATCACCGGGGGCGGTTCGAATGAAGACAAAAGCGGCGGCTGCCGAAAGAGGAACGGCCGCATCTTAAAGGAGGGTTGGATCTGGTTGTTGAGACGATTGCAAAGCATATTTAACAAAAAAAAGAAAAAAACGTGTAAGATCTTATCAAATTTCGGCAAGAAATAACAAGTCCAAACGATTTTAGAATTATTTCTATCAGATCGAACAGGAGTAGAGTTTGTAAATTTCTTTAATGCACAATTAGAGATAACGCTTATAATTACCGTAAGATCAAAGGAGATTGCTTTACTTATAAACTAAGAAATAAAACCCAAGATTCGAACTAATTGGAGTTAAAATAATTATAGAAATGACGAAGAAAGGGATCAACTTCTTAACAATCATCTTTAATGCAATTCTTAGATACTTTTACAATTAAACTAAAATGGAACAAATAACGAAAGCTCTCAGAAGAAAATAAATCATACTAATCTTAATTCCTCTTTTAATAGTAATAATATATTTATTATTAATTTTTACAAGAAGAATATAGTTTTTTTTTTTCTAAAATTTGATCTTTTTTTTTAAACAAACTGTAAATAATTCAGGACTTTAAATAAATCAATAAAAAATGAAATCAAATAAACTAAATTTCCAAAAATAAAAAATGAAGCAAATCAAATGCGTGAACAGGGATAATCTCCGAGCGGCGGGTGCGGAGATTATGTAATATGTATGTGCGGGGTCTGCACAATTGCAAACTGGACACGTTACTATATGGCGTCATTATATACAGGACGGCGGGGGCAGCGCCATTCGATGTTGACTATTATTATGAACGGCATTTCAAACATTAATCAACTAGTACAATTACTGCGTTAAATTAATATCTCACAATAATCATGCGCGTATGTCCAAATTTTAATATATATATATATATATTAAACAGTGGCGGCTGTAGAGTTGCAGCCCTTATACTAGAAAATAAAAATTCATGTTTTCAGTTCATATAGATCAAGGTTTCCCAAACTTTTCTTGCAACGGAACATTTTGTAAATCCTGAAATATTCACGGAACACCATTTTTCTGGAACCCTATATAAGTTATTACTGAATTGTTACTGCCCACCTTTATAAATTATTATATACATATCTAGTACGTTTCATGCACGCAACATTCTGTTGTCCCCAACGCATCCTTTGTCCGTTAATATTGTATTCCGTTGTAATTTTTATTTATTTATTAAAATATATATATAATTTTTTTCTACCCTTATTTTTAATATATTTTACGACGAGAGCAAGTTGTGACATCGCGTTACGAGCTTTTCGTTCTTTTTTTTTCTCCCTCGCACCCTTCACCATACGCTCGTCCTGGACGATGCTTTAATTTTACACACGGCAATCAATTGAAACAATGCCCTACACTTCCCACAATCAATTAATCACATGGCGTATATGATGTCAACGGCGCGATATGAGTCTCCTATTGCAATTAATTATTGACGTCGCCCTCACAAAGGGCTGTCCAAGTGGAGCGGGTATTTTGTTACAACAAGAACCGAACAACGGCAACATAAACCAAAAAAAAGAAAAGTGAGAAGAATTTGCATGTGCGTTATTCGTGTTAAAAAAAATGTAACCGTTCTATTAGCACGTATTCAAGAGATTTAATTTCGCCCCTGCTACCGCCGTCGCCCCCGAAATGCATGAGCGGTCGTTCGATAAATTCCCAGACTGGACTTGGTTTACGGTTACCATCGACGTTGCTCTATTGCATAGAGAATACCATTACCTTTGTTATTACAGTCGATTTCGCTTAATGGGGACACTTCGGGACAAGTATATTTTCATTTGTATATTTCTTAAAACTTTAGTAATTAATATACTATTGAAGGGAATAGCGAAATGTGTCCAGCGATATGGGCTAAAGTTCTTTTCCAGCAACAAAGTTTATTCCAAAACCTTATTTTGACTTTTCTGCTAATATTTTTAATTTCATTTTATAGTAATAATAAAAAAAAACTATATTAGTAGAGTGGCGTTAACCGAGGAAGCGTTAAACGATGTACTTATAGTGAAAACAACTGATCTCTTGTATCCGTACATATTGTTTGAGACTTACTCGTATAACCTTGGGAAAACATAAAGCACATGTAGGGGATTCCCTGATTGAGAATGTCATGCATGGATTGTGTTCACAATAACAAAGATACGTATAAAATATAACTGATTTAATAACATGTATGCATTGGAAACAAGAATGTCGTTGCATTTATTTGACTGGCTGAAACGGCTTTGCGTCATACTCAATACATCCAGGAAAATTGGGGGAGTTAACTTGTTGTTCCATACATGTATTACTCATCGAATTGATGCGCATCGAGAATGATACACGTTAATAATATGAAAATGTTGAATTCCGAATGCGATCCACGGTAATTTGATTAAATTCCTACACGAAATCCATACTAATCTATTACCTACTAAGAGGGTGCACAACTCCTGCCGCCTCCTGCGACGTGCACATGCTATAAAATATAAAAATATGTATACAGCCGTATTTTTCATACGCTTGTAAAGGTTACTTGTCGTTGATTTTATTTCATATGTCGAGTATTGTATTATATTACATTTCCAGAAAATTCGCGTTCCCTAAACATTTACAAAGCGTACGGCGAAAACGTATATTAAAAAATTGTTTCGGTACGAAACTGCTCTGTAGTTTCCCTTGCAAAACTGAAAGTGCTTAGCGAACGATCAAGCTCGCAATTAAAACTGTTTTTCAATATTATTCCAACCAATTAGTAAAGCTATTTCAAAGATGCACATTTAATATGAAGTTTCATAATGTGCATAGTGAAAAGATTTAATAAACTATAGCAACTATAGTTTGTAATTATCGCTGTGTTTCCTGCTCTATATTACATTTATGTCATTCAACTTATGCTGAATATTTAATTAGTAAGTAACAAATCAACATCAGTTTCCTTCATATTTTATGTTATATTTAATATATTTACATTAATTAAAATTAACTCAAATTTAATAATTAATATAAAATAACCTAAATATAATTTTGTAACAAATTTGATTAATTTGTAAATGGAAATCTAATAAAACCATTTTTTGAAGTATTTCTAATTTTTATTTAAATATTTTCGTAAAATTTAATAATCTATTATGAAATTATAAGATTAATTTTTAAGCTTTTATATTTTAAACTATGCAAACTTTATGATTTACAAATTCGTTTTAATTAGTAATGAATAATATATGATCTTGCTTTACATAATTCAGATAATGATTAATGAATATAAACGCAAAAGTAATTTTCTGATTATAAATAAATAACAAACGACAATTAATAGAATGCAATGAATACAATAATTAGATTTAGAGACAATTAATGGAATTTTAAATTAACAGATTGTTTAATTGAAATTAAATAATGAACCAAAAAGAAATCTATTAATAGGTTGGATCAAATGTATATTTGTTTACTCGACATATTTGACGTTTCTAGAGGTTATGAATGGGATTTAACATAGCAGCACACATTACATAATCGTTTTTGCTTTGCTGCCCAATTATTTGTGAATTAATGGTATAATTATTAAGCGGCGAAAGGGCCGGAATAATTTCTTAGTGAGCTAAATAATGTAGTTTAATTCATTTCCTCAGTGAAACAAAACAGACCGTTTTCTGTGGAATCCCAGCAATTTGTAAGTTATCCCGACTGCGTACTCTTCTCGTCGTTTTTTTTGCTCTCTCCAGTCCTCAGCGAGTTGTATTTAACTTATTCCACTTTTATTTTAGCTCCTTGCTTCCGAAGCCATGGGGCTGCGACGGGACGAGAGAAGGGGGGTGTAAGAAAATGTTCGGAAAAGTTCACCGCTTTCCTTTTATATAATTTTTTTTCTCTTTCTTCTTCTTCTCCCTTCCTACGTAATTATTTGTCCGCAGCACATTTCCATTACGCATCGCGACTAGAGCAATGCAAAAATTGCAACGTATCACGTAAACTCTGACTTTTCGTATGCTTTTATCTGGTTCACAGTGGAATGAAAACATTGCGGTCGATGATAACCAATCATGTGAATTCGGATCAGAATAAGAGAGGATTCCCTGAGCAGGAATGAGCTTCAATGAATATATACGTGACCTTGATTTGTACCAAGGGACTGCACTTATTTTTTCTCAATGATAGCAAAATTACAAGAAAGAAATCTTTAGATCATTTGATATTACATAACTCACAAGAAAAAAATCTATTAAAGATTGCCTAATTCGGACCACTTAAAATATTTAATTAGTATTGAATAATTAATATTGTTTTTGTCAATTTTGTACTATACTTGTATCCGTGTAATTAATACAAAAAAAGTAATTGAAAAAAGCAAATATTTTAATTGACAAATTTTGTATATTTAAAATATGTAAATAGATTGTGGTTAATGCATAAGTTGATTGTTGATGAAAAGCAATTTTCCGATCCACGTAAGGGAGGCTTAGCGTGTCGTCGAGGATATATAGAGGAGCACAGCTAATTTCATAGCAGACTTTGCGCGAGATCCGAAATAATGTTATTAAAATAATGTGAGCCACTCAAAAATTCATTTAGGAGATTGCATCCCTTCCTTCTAACATCGTTGCGAAAATAAATTGTGGTTTGGATGAAATAGTGATTGCCGTTTCTGAAAAAGATTAGTTTCAGTATTGCATCCTAACTTCTAACTGAAAAAGAAAATGTACTAATTTATAATATTGCACAATGCAAGTTGTGATATTTTTGAATATTTTATATTGAAAATATCAAAAATTCTCAAATAAAAAAATACGAATTATTACGAATATATTTTCAATAGAAAATGCTTTGAATAGATTTTATTAATTATAAGCATCACAAAAAGACAGTTAAGAATGATAGTAGCAATTTCTATAAAATTATCTAAAAAATAATAAGTTATATAAGGACTTTAGAAAGTGCATATACCAAAGTCTTTTATTTTGGTATAGAATTTCAGCAATTCAATTTTTTTTTAGTTGTATTGCAATTGTATTTCAGGTGAAAAGCTGATTGAATAATAGAGACAAAAAATGGTTTTTAGTTTTAAAATTAGATTTTGAATGTGTGTAAGTGATTATTTTTCCACTTGGGCTTGGTTATAATGTATGGAACATGTATAACGATTGTAATGTATGGAATTTGTTCGAATTGAAGTTGGATTTTTCAGCATGATTATAACGAGAATGATTTGTATATTTACGATGATCGGTTGAATGGAAGGCATATTAGCGTTGACTAACTAGTTTAGTTCAGTAGCTATTTGGTAGCGCATCCAAATGGTGTCTACATTAGCTGACCATTGTAGAACTGTGGAGTGTATAATTTCACAACAGAGTCTCACGCCTCTATTGTAAGGCTGACAGTCAGAATTGCACGCTGGTTCCTGCTGGACAATAGATACTAATTTATACACGAGACAGTGGCGGTGTTTTCTTTGTTTCTACCTCGGAACGGCCCCCCTTATTATTAGATATTTATTGTTTGCTTTTCTTCGGCGAAGCCTGAACTCTGCCCTCCCACAACAATACCAATTATAAAATACTCACAGTCAACGCTGACTTTTATACGCTTGCTTACAGCCGGAGGGACTCCATTGCTGGCAATGCAGAGGTAAGCTCCCATATCCAGACGGGATATCTTCGTTAGCTCTAGGTTCTCACCCTCCCACTCGGTAACTGTTGAGCAAACGAACACATACATAGGATAAGAACAGCAAAATAAAAATAAGTGCAGAGTATAATTCAATTGATTCACCGGAATTTATGGGAAATATAAAAAAAAGGAAGAGACGGAAAAAAAGAAGAAGTAGAAGCCGAAGGCGAAGGAAAGAAGTAGGTGTGGATGTGGCAATATATTTTGATTGTGGCCAAAGTAAAAAGTTTTATAAAGGCATTCACTGACCGGTAAGTGTCTTGTTTATGGTGATCTTAGAGTTATCGTCCCTGCGCCACTTGACGCTGGGATGCGGGGATCCCGTGGCCCTGCAGTTCAATGTTTCGTTCGAGCCTTCTCTGATAATGACGTCGCTGCTGCTCAAGGAGTCATCGATGTTCGGAGGTACTGTAACAACAAAGATGGACAGATATTAAAGAAATGGCAATTAGAGTTTAGATGTACACGTTTATGTTTGTTCCCAGAAACGGCAATATCCGGCGGGGAGGAAATAAGGATGGGACAAAATGAAAAAAAAAAGGATGAAAGAATAAGAAACAAATAGTGGAGATGGGGGAGAAACAGCGATGCAGGCGAGATAGAGAGACAAACAGCCAGTTGTAAATATCGCAATTCCCCGTCGGGACAAGTTTTGTCTCGGAAAAGAGGGAAAACTCCCGTCATAAATTTATCTATATGACAATCGGCTTGCGGAATTATTGTGTATATTTTTACATAGATTGGGCTAAGTTTCCAGTTTTATTATAATGCCGGCAGGAGCTAACGATCGAAGAGCCATCCACGTAACATGTGCGGGGTCCCGAACTTTGCTAAATTATATTCCCGTATTCCTGGATGCCCGACACGTCCCGGATTACCCGTCCCCGTGTCCAAAACTTGATCATTTTTATTTATCTCCTCTTTTTTTTATATTCTTTATTTATTTATTTACTTGCTTTTTTTTCGTACGAAACAAGCAAATACGTTTTTGGCTTATGCCCAATATCCGAAAAATTCAGATGGCAACTTTTCACTTTTTGATCGTCCCTCTAGGATATACCCACGATTTTAACATCTTGTCCCGTGTTTTTTTTTACTTTAATTCTCTTCTTTTATTATTTTTATCTTCAGTTTTGCAATTGTCTATTATACAACATTCACCTATACACACCATAGTAATATTAGTAATTATAACTAAATATAAACTAATCAAAGTATAAATATTGGTAATAATTATAGCTGCTTGTAGTCTTAGTAATAGTTCTTAGTAATAGTTACTACTACGATTTGATAAATTATCATTTGCAATAAAATGATTATCATCAAAAATTATTAATCCATAGTTTGTTACAAATTGTAATTCTATAACAACCATTCCCGATTTGATAAAATAAAAGAGAAAAAAATGGGTAGCAAATAAGAAGTATACTTTTCATAGCTTGATTGAATACTACGCTTGAGTAGATAAAGTCGGTATTCGAAGAAGGTTGCAGAACTTACACAATTTGATTGTATAATAGCTGGGAAAGGTCGTATCTTCCTTTATTGTTGTTTTCATCCTTTTTATTTCTCTATTTTTCTTTAATAGTTTCGAAGATCAATCAACGATGTTGTGATACCCTCGTATTAAGATATGTTGATCAACTTTCCGTTGTTTTTTCTTCTTCTAGTCAGGTACATTAATTCTTCTAATTGGCTGAATATCTTCGAGTTTACTTGTTGTTTTCAGCGAAGTTCGACCGTATTTCAACAAGGACACAGCTGGCAATCGCATCTACTCATAATCGAAACTTCTGCTCGAATACTTCGTATAATCTCTATGTGCTAATTATATCAAATCTGTTAAAATTATATTTTATAAAATAATATTAATAATAGTTTCTTCTATATATTTTTATATCCAATAATTGTAAGTCGGTTAAACTATAATTTATCAAGTTTGTTCCGTTAAGCTCTGTTCAAAGTTAGTTTTCACTTCTTGTTGAATAATAGTTGAATATTAGATACACATATAGAAGGTAAGATAAAGTGTTACTAACTATTCTTCATTTTTTTTACTAAGTCTTCTAGTTTATAGGACTGTGAAGTTTCATAAATAGTGATTTTAAATGATATGAAGTCGTGCAAATTGCGAGTTTGGTTAATTTTGGTTTTGGATGAAGGGAAAAGTTTTATCTGATGGTTGGGGTTGACGACGACAGGTAGCTAAGGAAACGGTAATGGCATTGCGGCCCATAAATAAAAATAGCATTTGAATGATGGTTTCGGTTTGGAAAGGTCCCCGAAGGTGGCGAAACCGAAGAAGATTATGATCTGCGTACCCCCGTCGCTTCCATTGACAGCATAGTAAAAGCGTGAAGGGTGGTCGCAGTCCTGGGTCCTATAATGGCGTGAAATCCAGTGCGGATCATCTGCTATACAAGAAGGCCGTTTTCGAAGATCAAAGACTTTATTACACTACCTGTTTCCTGATTAAGGGGCATCCCTATCCGTCCATATACCACCGCCTCCCAACAACCGCCCTCGGCATATTATCGACCGTTTATTCGCCGAATAACTAACTGATCGGCTCGTCGCACGTTTGAGATGAACGTATCGATTTGCGATCGGTAATAATGAGTGCGCTGAATACATACCATGGGAGGATGAGGAAAAGGAGTAGTAGAAGAAGGCTCGTCTTTAACTTTAGTTTCACGTATACAGACGCGTTTAGTATGGACGTGGCGTGGATACCTCAAGTGAAATGAAACGTAGAAACATCTTACTTTTATCAACAGAAAAATTCTTAATGAATTCTGGTAGTTAAAAAAGTTTGCAGCGTTCGAGCATTGGGCTTGCTGCAGCGAATAATAATGCACGTGGCTCGAGGGTCAAAGTTCATCCCGTAACCACAAGGGCCTGCTGTCTTGGGAGCAGCAGCATCCGAACAACACTCAATCGATGTCCAGCCGACCCTTACGATCCCCATCCCCTACCTCCCCCTAAACCAATCACCTCCAAAATAAACAAATTAATGATCGACCCATCGCCTCAAAGCTGATTCCCAGATCCCAACGTGCGAACAACGTGCAGCAAGAGATGCCCTTCATTTCATTAAGCTGAACCGCAGATGGAAACGCCTCAATAACATATTAAGTGATCCTGCACCAAAGCTGCTGTATCCCATTCATACTAAATCCCGTCGGTATCATCCACATCTCCAAAATTACTACAACAACAACACAACCTCCATTATTATTTTCGTCATTAGGGAATGTTTGATTGAGATGCCTTTATGTCCCTTTAATATCAGACCCTGAGAGTCGGCTACTCTCATTTTTTTTTACTTTCTTCTCTCTTAACCACAATAAACATTTCATGCCAATTTGCGTGTACACTTAAAAAGCGATGCAGTTTTAACTTCATTTATTCTCCTTCCGCACAACTTGATCCTTTCTGAAAAGACTTGCGTAAATATCAATACTGATTTCAGCACACCCCCACGGATTTACTCCGACGAGATGTCCGACAGATCATTAATAGAGATACAATTGCACCACAGCATTTGTTTCAATCAAGATGAACGATTTTCAAAATGAGGATAATGATGTCCTTTCTACAAACTTCAAATTTAAACTTTGTATTTTTTTTTCTAATCATTATAATAAACTATAAGAAAGTAATTAAACTTATGTTATTAATTAATTTCAAACTACTTCGAAATTGATGCAAATAAATAGATTGGAAATCGTTGGAAAATAAATTTAAAAATTATCTGATATTGATGAGAATCAAAGAGTGCTTGAACTACAATGCACGTGCATTGTGTGTATTTGTGATCCCGAATTTCCGGATTAATTTGTATTAAAACAAATGAATGTGCCATAGCGGATGCAGCCACAGAATATTTAATAATGAATCACGTGACGACATAATAATATTATTAGTGTTCATTGTTTACCGGAGAATTACAATCAAATTATAATTTATGGAAATCGCGTATGTTTGCTAATTAAAATAGCGATGCGAGTTGATGCACGAATTTAATAAGATACCTATTATTAATTTACCTATCAATGAGGTATAATGTGAAAGCGTTATGAAATTTCGAAAAATTATTGTTTTAAAAAGTTCCAAACTAATTTGGAACATAAAAAGTTTACTTTATTTTCTTTCTGATTTAAAGAAATTTAATTAAGTAAATAAAATAGAAAAAAAAATTGGGAACAATAAAAATTTCATTGTTTTCAACTACTGTTGAAAATTATACTGGCAGTTTTTTTTAGTTACTGTTTGAAATATTTAATTTAAGTATTGAAGTGAATAATGAAATGTTGTGAAATGTTTGTAAATTGCAGTAGTAAAAAATGTTGTGATTGGATGAGTTGATGGCAAAGTACTGTTTGTAGTGGATAAGTTGAAGTTTAATGGTTAATAAATGTATTTACGAGTAGAAAAGTTATTGTAAACACGGTAAAAAGTGTTTCGGTGATTTCTGTTTGTCTTGAGCGAGTTGTTTGCGTTCGGACAGCCTATGTTTATACTACATCCATATGTAGGTCCCTGTCAGCTCGTGAAGGGTATATAGAATCAAGGGTCCCCCGGATATTATAAAAATCGATAAAAATGAAGTTATCAGAGGGAGATATATAAAATGAGCAGTAGTTTAGTTAACTGAGTTCTCCACTCGGTCCGGTACTGATTGGCCGACCGGAAAGGAATTGAAACAGGCCATGTCCCTCACAATTCCTGGACGCATTAAAGGTCCACTTGATTGCGGCCGTATTTCTTCTCGGGGGGCGGCGGTCCACGGCTTTCATTAAACTGGACTACCCCTACGCTCCGCCACCCCCCGTAAAGCCGAGGCCAGTCACTCACTCAGTTCCCCCCAAAACCAATGCGACCAAATGCGAGCCATTGTCGACGCCGAAACTTCCAATTGACTCCGACGCCCGGCAATTCATTCCGAAACACGTAAAATAATTAAACACGTGAACGGTGCTAAGCGTTTATGATAATCCGGTGCTAGATTTCCGGGAAGGCAAGGAATGCATAAATTGCCTCAAAAAGACTGTGCGCAAACAGCGGCTGTGGGATGGAAGTGAGCCGGTTAACGTAATTGAATTTTGAATGATTATTATTGCACAAAGTTGAAGGTGTTTGAAGTTATCTCTTATAGTTCTTGTCTAAATTGTGTGGCCTATCACCAAATCTAGCTTTCGTTTAGCCCTGGAATTAATGCGACCCTCAAGCTCGCTGCGTCAACACCGAGCGCCCCCTCAAGACTAATCTTTATTCAACACTTATCACCTTTTCCCAATTACGTAGGAATTTAAATATTTATGTCAAACCCAACGAGCCGTCATATTGATTCCAGACTCTCAAGAACAACGCAAGAAAATATATACAGTTAACGCCCACTTAACGCA